TGTACAGTGTCCCAACTTTTTTGGAATTGGGTTTGTATATAAATAGTTGTTTGCATATGGGAAATCAACGTGCTCTATATATACATAATAATATTATGTTAAAAGGGAATTCAGTTTTACCACTGACACAAACACAGCATATTACAAATTAGGATGTATACACATCTAATCCCCTAGTTCACAGAAAAGGCCTTGACAGGGAAGTATAGAGATGGAAAGTTCTTGCAACCCCTTGGGGTTTGGTGGAGGGGTCAGCTTCTCAGAGCATGTGACTCCCATTCACCCAGTTCACAGACAGGAAAGGGTTCTCACACTCGCTGAGCAATTGACACAAAGATATGATGATGTTCCTGATGTAATAGCCCTTATCTACAGCAAACAATTTAGTTGGACTGTAAATATTCCTGTCAGGTTTATTTGTAATCCTCTGTGCAGCTGCTGTGGTGGACCCCTAACCTGTCCAGACTAACCTGTCTCCCTAACCTGTTTAGTTAATGTATGTTTTGTGTACTCAAAGGGAGGGACAGAAAGTAATTAAATGTTCACCCCTCAAAGATAGGTGTACTGAAGTTAAAGGGATAGTTCTCCCAAAATTAAAATTATGTTCACCCTCAAGTTGGGCTAAACGTGCTTTTACTTTTTCTGTTGAACATAAAGGAAGGTATTTTTATGGCAGTAACCAAACAGTTGCTGGTCCCCATTAACCATTGGGAGGAAAAAAAATACATACAAAAAAATAATAGGCTAATAAAAAAAAATCAGCAACTGTGATTAAATCAACTGTCTGCTCAAGGGACAATTGTTTTTACTTTTCCAGTTATTTTGCACTATTTTGTTGTAATCCAGATTCTGTTATGTTTTTTATGCATTGCATGCCCTAAACAATTTGGTTGTTTTATCTTAATTGGCCAATGTATATAGTTCATTTAATTCAATAAGTGATCTAATCTGGGGTAGCTATAATTACTCAATGCTTTAGGCTTTAAGTTTAAATCACACACAGGCCTATCTAATGTTCCCTAATGCAAGGGTTTTCAAAATGGTGACCGGGGACTCCCAGTAAGCTGAATGCTAGGGGGTCACTGGAAAAGTGTAAAAAAAAAAAAAACCCGTAAAAAAAATAAAATAAAAACAAATAAGTAATAGGCTAATAACACATAATATTTAAATAAATGAATGAATGAATGTACTTTCTACATGAGTCTTTATATATAGCAGCATTTTAAATTTTAGGTTGGGCCAGGGGGCTTCTCCTATTAACATAAACCCCCAGACACCATAATGCCGTCCCAAACCAATTCAGAATTGTTTTAAAAACTGATATTTGTGTCTTATTACTTAAAATTAACTTCCTGCATATACTTTGAAAGTACTGTATGCTCACTGAAATTTCGTCAAATTACTTAGTATTCAAACATAAAAGTATTACAGTGCTTAAGTTAGAATATAAAAACTCTTTCAAAGCATATTCATTACAGTGCAAATTAGGTTGAGCTGAGCAAGGGCGTGCGCAGAGGAGGCGCGGCAGTAGCGCAACAGTGCGAGGCGCATCTGAAAGAGCTGTAGAAGAGGAGAGGATAACATCACATCACATCAGAAACAGCTTGAGGAATCAGGACTGTCCAGGACTGTAAACCTGACAGACCAGTCTGAACTGATCTGCTTCATATAAAGACAGCAGACAGTCGGGAAAGTCTTCTTCGCGTGTGAAGAATGGATAAGCACAAAGGTAAGTGGAACGATTATGATACGTTTATCGCTCGGAGTCTGTTTGCATGGTGTCTGAAGAGATATTCGTGTACACACATAGTCCGCTGTAAACAACTTTAAACCTTTGCGATGCTTTCCGGTCCTCAATATTTGGGAGAACGGATCGTGGGAAACTGCGGGATCTCTCTCCAGAGGGATGCAACAGGAGGAGATTCCGTTTCCAGGGATAGTTGACTTTTCAGTGCGCTCGTTCAGTGATTTATTCAACTCTGTGTGTTTTGCATTCTTCCCAGGATTAGAATACGAGTTCTGAATGAATAAATAAACAAGCATGTGGCCTATTAGAGACACTCGCGAGAGATTCTGTCCAGTCGCAACAATTGTTCTTCCAGAATTCTTTGGATTCCTTTTGGTTTAAGCTTGAGCCCTAATATTTTATGACTAAACTGAGATACGACTCTTTCTCTATGGGAGGCACAGCCACTTTTGTGCAAACTGATGTTTCTTTCTGGAAAAGTTTCTGAAAGAATATTCATCAGTTCAGCAATAGCTTGAACATGTCTAATGTTAATAACAGCAACAGCAATAATAATAATAGCAACATCAACAATCAGACACTAATGATCATTTATAACATAGCTATTAAATTGATTTGTCAAAAGTATTAGCAGCAGCAATAGACCACAGTTCTTGGACACTGGGGTAAGAGGTGTTTGAACAATAAAAACCTCTGTACCACAACAGACAAAGGTTTTCACTTCATAATTCCACTTCCTGTGCTGTGCAGACTTCAGTTAATGAAGTAGACTATTTGGTCAGGTCTTGGTATTTGTTCTTGTTATTTGCATGACAGCCTCTATTCTGATTTTTGACTGAATATGCCACTTCCTGTCTGTCTAACCCTAACATCAGTTTAAATTGATTCAGTGTCACTTTTTGATACTTCAATATTCAGCATAATTATAAATTATTCTATTGCTGAAATTGCATCATAAGTGTGCTGTAATGCTTATTTTACAGTTAGTTTACCCAGAATGAAAGTTATATCTTAATTTTCTCATCCTTATGTCATTGCAGTATTTTTCTTTCTCTGTGGAACACAAAAAGAGATGATTGACAGGATGTTCATGCTGTGCTTTTCCAAATAATGAAAGCGAATGGTGATCAGGGACTGTCAAATTCCAAAAATGACAAAATAAAAGCATCATAAAACTGCTCAACATGACTATTATACACTATAAACAATAACTGTAAATATAACTAGCGATAACTATATTGGAGTCCACACTAATGCATGATAAAGTTCTGTTTATTAAAACCCTACAATGCACTTAAGTCATCTGCTGCTTTAAACACTCAAGCGCTTTGAAGTTATGTGCAGGATTCTGATTGGCTGTCAGTGTTTATATTGTTCATCAGCTGGAAAAAAATAAATGTTCTGAAAGTGATTCCAATGATATTGTTCCTTTGTGTCATTGTCTTTATAAAGTGACTGTGGGGTGAACTTCCATATTCTTGTAGAATTAAAGCCTGTTTACACCAACAACGATAATTATAAAGATATATATAATGATAACTATACTAACATCCACACCAACAGACTATAACATTCTGTTTATTATTTAAATCCTGCCGCTTTAAATCCTCATGCGCTTTAATGTCGAGAGGGCTCTGATTGGCTGTTTTTATTGTTCATTAGCTGGAAATCAGCTGGAGAGTAATTCCTACAGTATTGTTCCTCTGTTTTTTTATTGTTAATATTGTGTTGTGGAATTCCCTATGAACAATTATTATGCTGTAATTATAGTTATTGTCTTTGGTATGAACTGGCCTTAACACTATATTCTAAATCTTTGAAAACTTTGTGTAAGGAACAGAACCAAAATTTAATTGATTATTTACTGAAAATGTCCCTTTCTGCTGTACACTGTAAAAAAATAATATACCAACCTATTGAAGTACTGAAATATGTTTTGTACCTTTGTAATACACTGATAACCACCAAATGCAGGGGGTGATGAGAAAGTCACATGATGAACCAAAGCTCATCACAAGCAGCTTTTAAATAATAACATATATAGAAGGTGCACAGTGTCATTCACACAAACACTAAACACCATCATGGTAACACACATGAAACTGAAATAATGCAATAAACATTCATTTAACAACATTAGGTGTAATACACAACCCTAATATACAAACCTGATAAGAAAAAACTAAGAAGAAACAGTTATTTCAACAAAAAAACATCAAATTTGAAATGTAACGCAGGGAATTCTGGGAATGTCAATTTACGGTTATTCATTGTAAATTATACGGTCTTTTTCACTTTAAAAAACGGTATACTACCGTAAAATTTATGTCCAATACAGTTTTTCACCGTATAAAGTAGGGGAATTTACCATTAACCATTTAACAGGTTTTTACTGTAGCATTTTTGCAGTTAAATTCACGGTAATGTTTTACAGTGTAGCTTTAAAATCTCAATCTTGCAATATAAATACGAGCATATTCAGGTTTGGCAATTCTTGACAGCCCCAGATTCATTTTCATTGTTTGGGAAAAACAGCATCAACATTCTGGTAAACATCACTATAATAACATAAGGGTGAGTAAATGACATGATGAACTATTCATTTAATTAGCAGGCACATGAGGCTTGATTAAATGTGGTGCGACTCTTGTGCACACTGTGATGGTTTAATGACTGCATTGTGTTGTAAATGCTGTTGGGAACAGGCCTGCAGTTGTTGTGGTTAGACGTCTAGAGGCCATGCCTCTTAAAGACTCTTTGTGAATTTTGTTTTTGTGAGATAAGACATATAAGGAGGGAAGGAAGATAGAGGAAGGAAAAAAGGATTGTGGGAGGAGGGAGATGGCATTTTGAGGAGTATGGCATAATTTCTCCCATGATAAAATGAGTGGGTGACATATTTTCCAATGTCATGATGCTTTGTTTGTGTTTAGCATAACATAGTAGAAACAAGCTCTGGAATGCTATTTACAGTACTGTGGATGATGAGTATTCATGGGACTGGCTCACAGAGCTGTGTAGATGACATGAACGTGCATGTTTTGAGTTCAGGATATAGCTTTGGGTTGTGGTTTTAGATAATACAGTGCTTTGAGCCTCAGAATTCATGGTTAGTATCGCAAAACTGTTGATTCTGGCATATTTGGTGTCCCTTTTACATGAAAATGCTTTTGGGTGGACATTTGAGCCTGTGAATCTGAACTAAGAAGCTTAGTTCAAGCTCTTGTTCCCTGTTTATTGATGTGATGCAATAGCAGGGTGTGTTAAAGATAAAAGATAAACAGGTGAGAGCATCTCAAATTTCAATAATGAGATGAAAAAGTAATCTAAATCTGATAGGCACCCAAATATACCCGGATAAATACCCGGATTGATTTTTTAAACGATTTTTTCTTATCCCTCCGGTTTCCTCCTTTCCCGACTTGATTTCTCTCTTCAAAGGGAGCCTGTGGAACCAGATCTCACCCTTGAGGTCCGGCATGATACCAGCATGTTTCCGGACCCACCCACGGGCTCTACTGCCTGGGCAAGCTCAGAACGTGTCAGAGTTCCAGAATGTTGCCAGAGACACAGGGACGTCTCGTGCATCTTAATAAAGACAGCCTGAGTGCTGGAAGCAGCTCCAAAGGCGTCCCAGAATGAGAGATCAGCACTTTTTCAAAACGGGTCCTTGAGTTCATTCCCTCATTACGCTCGCTTCTGAAGAGAGTCAACAGGGAAGCAGCACGCTTATTAGTAAACGGATAGAGCACAGTGGAGTTGAAATACAGAGAAAAAGAGCCAGGACTTCCCTGAATCGGCCTGAATAGAGTCGCGTTCTGGAAGGATAAATCTAATTTATTTTCTCCATAAAGAAATTCATTTTAATAAAAGTAAACCTGTCAGGATAGACCTACAGTGAGTTCTGAGGTTTTTAAAGCTGTGATATATGCTTCTGTATGTCCTGAACCAGCCAGTTCTTTGGATCCTCCTCTTTAGAGTAGTTGCTGTAACCAGGGAAATGAACTGGCAACATGCCAAAAGACTGTCCACTCCCATGAAGCTTTGAAAATGATGTAATTGAGTCAGTCTCCAATTCAGGCAGCCAATCATATATGTGTGTATATATATATATGTATATATATATATATATATATATATAGAGAGAGAGAGAGAGAGAGAGAGAGAGAGAGAGAGAGAATGCTTTTCTAACATTATAAATGTATTTACTGTACTGTCACTTTTGATCAATTTAATACATCCTTGCTGAATAAAAGTTACTTTTGAACAGTAGTTTTTTTAACAGTATTGTGTAATGTTACAAAAGCTTTCTATTTCAGATAAATGATGTTCTTTTGAACTTTCTATTCATCAAAGAATCCTGAAAAAACAACTGCTTTCAACATTGATAATAATAATAAATGTTATTTGAGCACCAAATCAGCATATTAGAATGGTTTCTGAACGATCATGAGACTGTAATGGCTGCTGAAAATTCATCTTTGCCAAGACAGGAATAATTTGCATTTTAAAATGTATTCAAATAGAAAACCGTTATTTTAAATTGTAAAAATATTTTGCAATATTACTGTTTTTGCTGTATTTCAAATAAATGCAGCCTTGGTGAGCAGAAGAGACTTCTTTCAAAAACCTTTAAAAAATCTTTTGAACAGTAGTGTATTGTATTTATTTAATTTTTTTGCATTGAATCAAAATTGATGTTGTGATTTGTCTTGGAGCTGGTCTTTATTGTGGATTTTTTAAAAATCCCTGTGGAGAAATGAATGGGAAAAAATACTTCCGAAACCAAGACTGCTGAAAAAGTGAGCGGTCACTGTTACACTTTTTTCAAACAGACTTGCAGAGAACAGATTAAATGAACACTGCAAGTTTCCCCTGAATGGTATCTGCTCTGACTTGTAAACTGGCCTCTCAAGTTGGCAGTGTTTAGAGTGTGATTTGCACAACAATGCTATCAAAATATCTGTGTTTAAGGGTGGTTA